TCAAAAACTTAACGAAGAATAATTCAAAACAATAAATATAACTTAACGATAATCTTTGCCGACGTTCATCGAACACTTACGGGATACAAATTACGCGCCACAAATGAACAATAAAAAGTTCTAATTAATAGATCATTCGTCGATTCCGATCGTACACTTATACTTAAAAAGAAAAAGATAGAAATAAGTGAAAATTTCGTATATCCGAACGAATTTTAACGAAATGTGTCGAACATTCAACGGTTAAAAAATTATAAAAAAAAAACAATGGTACACGTTAGAAAAATATTTAACTTCACTTCGAACACTTATAAAATCCAAATTCAACGATGTAATTACGATACAATCAATAGAGATTAATAGAAAAAAAATTTCATATGGAAAATTCATTAAATCAATTCGTTAGAAAGATCAAAAAATCATTAAATCGATTCGTTCGAAAAATCATTGAATTTAGAAAAATCATAAAATCATTAAATCAATTCGTTAGAAAAATCATAAAATCATTAGATCAATTCGTTAGAAAAATCAAAAAATCATTAAATCAATTCGTTAGAAAAATCACAAAATCATTAGATCAATTCGTTAGAAAAATCATTGAATTTAGAAAGATCAAAAAATCATTAAATCGATTCGTTAGAAAAATCATTGAATTTAGAAAGATCAAAAAATCATTAAATCAATTCGTTGGAAAAATCACAAAATTATTAGATCAATTCGTTAGAAAAATCATTGAATTTAGGAAGATCAAAAGATCATTAAATCAATTCGTTAGAAAAATTAATAAGTGCGAGATTGAACGTTCTAACGCAAAAGAAGACAATTTTCAACTTCGATCAAATTAATTGTAAGATTCAAATCTAAGACACGTCTAAGTCGATAAATTTTGCGGACGTCAATTTTACAATTACGAGAATCAAATTTTCGTGAGAAAAATGAAAAAAAAAAGAAAAAGAAAAAAGAAAAAAAAGGGAAAAAGAAAAAGAATTATAATTAAAAAAAAAAAAAAAGAAACAATTGCGGATTTCGATCAAAGTATATATAAACTTATTGGTATATTGAAAATTATAAATAAACAATAATTGATTATCAATTTTTTTTTTATCAAACTATAAATTTTAAATTTATAAATTTATAAATTTCAAACTCAAGGCGCAACCATGGAACTACTTGCCGACGACAATCGAACACTCGCAAGATTCAAACTCAAAATGCACATTATTAACAACGATATATATATATATATATATTTGTTTAATAATAATTTGATCGAATACTTTAAATCGATTTTAATTCAACGACAGAAAATTAACAACTTAGATTATAGAGTTGAAACGATTAATTTTGCCGACGTTAATCGATAGAACTTATGGTGATTCAAATATGGCGATTAAATAAAAAAAAAAAAAAAAAAAGAAAAAAAAATTTAACGAAAAATATTTCTAAATTAACGATAAATTTGTCAATTTCTATCGAACTCTTTAAATAATACAAATTTCTCAATTAGAAATTAAATCAAAATCAATTGTCTGCGTCGATCGAATTTCTATTTAATTTCAAACAAATCCAAACGAATTGAAACGACAATATTATGATTTTAATTTTTTCTCGTTTGATAAAAAAAAAAGAAAAAAAATTCAAATTCAATAATGAAAATTAATTACTCAATGGAATATCAATTGAATAAATGTTATTTATCGATATCGATCGATAGTCGTTTATAAAATTCGAATTCAACGATACAAATTAAAGGAAAGGGAAGGAAGAAAGAAGGAAAGAAAGAAAGAAAAAAAAAAACGATTAAACGAAATACAATTCAATTCTTATAAAATATAAATTTAAGAACAAATTGACGAGTAAAAAAAAAAATTTTAACATTCGTCGACTACGATCGAACATTTAAAATATTTAAATTCAAAACTCTACGGATTAACGACGAAAAAGTATAATCGTATCGTGTAAACGATTTCGTTGAAAATTATTTACAAAAAAAAAAAAAAAAGAAAAAAAAAAAGAAAAAGAAAAACCAACGTGAATCGAACGACTTATCGGTGAATTTTTTCAAATTAGACAATAACAATTCATGGTTGAATTTACAAAGTTGACAATTATTTGTCGGCGTAAAATCGAAGAACGCTCTTGGGAGATTCAAAAAGTTCGCGATATAAACAAAAAAAAAAAAAAAAAAAAAGAAAAAAGAGAAGAAAAAAGAAGAAAAAGAGAAGAACAAAAAAAAATGGATTAAAAAACAAAAATTAGAGTTGACGATCGTTACATTAAAAGAAAAGAAAAAATCCCGATCGAAATCTTCATCAGAATGAAACGCAATCGTAGAAATTCTGACAGACGTTCAATGCCATAATTGAATTCTGTTAATAAATTCAAAGGAGGAGAGAAAAAAAAAGGGAAGAAAAAAAAAATGAATTAAAAAACAAAAGTTACAGAGTTGACGATCATTACGTTAAAAAAAAAAAAAAAAAAACCTTCATCAGAATGAAACGCAATCGTAGAAATTCTAACGACAGACGTTCAATGTTAAAATCGAATTCTGATGATAAATTCAAAGAAGGAGAGAAAAAAAAAACGAAGAAAAAAAAGAGAAGAAAAAAAATGAATTAAAAAAAAAAAAAAAGTTACGGAGTTGACGATTATTACGTTAAAAAAAAAAAAAAGAAAAAAAAAACACCCCAATTGAAATCTTCATCAGAATGAAACGCAATCGTAGAAATTCTGACAGACGTTCAATGTTAAAGTCGAATTCTGATGATAAATTCAAAGAAGGAGAGAAAAAAAAAACGAAGAAAAAAAAGAGAAGAAAAAGAAAATGAATTAAAAAAAAAAAAAAGTTACGGAGTTGACGATCATTACGTTAAAAAAAAAAAAAAAAACGTTCATCAGAGTGAAACGCAATCGTAGAAATTCTAACGACAGACGTTCAATGTCATAAAATAAAAAAAAGGAGAAGAAAAAAAATGGATTAAAAAACAAAAATTACGAAGTTGACGATCGTTACATTAAAAAAAAAAAAAAAAAAAAAGAAACCCCCCGATCGAAATCTTCATCAGAATGAAACGCAATCGTAGAAATTCTGACAAACGTTCAATGTCATAATCGAATTCTGATAATAAATTCAAAGAAGGAGAGAAAAAAAAAAGAAGAAGAAGAAGAAGAAAAAATGGATTAAAAAACAAAAATTACGAAGTTGACGATCGTTACATTAAAAAAAAAAAAAAAAAAAAAGAAACCCCCCGATCGAAATCTTCATCAGAATGAAACGCAATCGTAGAAATTCTGACAAACGTTCAATGTCATAATCGAATTCTGATAATAAATTCAAAGAAGGAGAGAAAGAAAAAAAAAGAAGAAGAAGAAGAAAAAAAAAAAGATAAAAAAAGAAAAAAAAAGCTTCAAGTAAGCAGCGAGGATCATTTATTGGCCGACGTTGATCGAACACAATATCGAAAACACAATATTCACATACTCCTCGGTTCAAATGAGATTAACACAAGGCATTAGAAAGAAGAAGAAGAAGAAGAAGAAGAAGAAGAAGAAGAAGAAGATAAAAAAAAAGAAAACAAATCATTTATCGTCACCTCAATCGAGTTCTTTTTTTTATAAGAACGAAACTCGACGAACTTGAATGAATTAAGTTAAATTGTAAAGCCAAAAAAAAAAAAAAAGAAAAAAGAAAAAGAAAAGAAAAAGAAAAAAAAAAGAGAGAGAGAAATGGAAAAAAAGAACAAGGATACAAGTTAACAATCGCTTGCCGACGTCAATCGAGCCCTAGCAGTAAAACGTTCAAATTCAACGGGTACGAATTGATGATGATGATGATGATGATAAAAAGAAAAGAAGAGA